TGCAAGTAAATTTGGTGTTGTGCAACTAATTTTTTGCCTGCTTGCACCATGGTGCAAGTTTGCTTTATCCACTGTCACTACCTGTAGAATTACCCAATAATATTAATTAATAAAGAACTGGAGTGGAAAGGAACAAAACCAGAATCCATGAAGTTTTTCTTCATTTTTTGTAAGTAACAGAAGGTTACTATCTACGTCGCTGCCAGCGGATGTTTCCCATCACTTATGTATTTTTGGAGGGTGCAACTATTTTTCTTCCGGTGCAAGTATTTTTCTTTTCATTTGCACCAGTGCAAGTTGGCCCCAAAATCTATTTCGACCCCTGTATATATAGTAGTAGTATTGATAGTATGTTTGATAGTATTCTAGTAGTTTGTTACATTTGTTTTAAATTATGTTGAGTTCTATCATGGAGGTACCTCCATGGTTCTATTTTGTTAGGCTAGCTTTAGACATTGCCTGATAAGAGGCACCGATTGACAAACAAACTAATTTTAATTTTGATTTTTAGTTATTTGCTCTGCCACTGTTTGATTGTTGAGTTCTGTTTTGGTAGACTAACTGTTGGTGTTAAAAAGTCACCTCTTAGTTTCCTAGTTTTTTCAACCCCACGATTTTACAAATAAAGTTGTTATTTACACTAATGAAGTTCATTTTATTTAGTTAACATTAGAGACAGATACAGATACGGCCTTTGGTCGGAATGAACAGTACCAACTTAGCTAAGGGACTGGAACTGAGATTATACAATGTGTTGATGGATCATGACTAGGCTAGAAAATAGATGGTGATTGAACTTTTGGGGACCGTGGGAAGTCAGAGATCTTCAAGGAAAATTGCTCCCCGTCTGATTTCTAATATTTGCTTGTGCGAAGTGGGGTATGGTGGAGACCACTGAATGGAGACTAACTTTCCATTTCTATTTTGATCCTTGACGCAATTGTCTTTCCAAGTACTGCCGCTAGGCGGCGCTAACTGTCGTAATCCCACCTGCCGCAATTCGGCCGTGCTCGGTAGTCCTTAGCCACGTATGTGAGTTCGTTGATGACCACTTTGTACAAGTTTTATAACATCGTGGACTGCCGCTAGTTAATGCTACAGAATGTTGTCGGACCTTCTGTTGTTTGGGACGTTACTTATAAACGCCGGAGCGGTGCTGAACTTCAACCTAAGCAAGAAAAAAGGTGAGCAAAATCAGTTGGTCGTGGGGAGGGGGGCACTCGAACTTCTCAAAGATTTTGCAAATCGCGTCAAATTCAAACATTGTTTTGTACTTTCTAGTCTAGTTTACATGGCATTCATTGATTTGATTGGACTTAAGCTAATGGTTGGAAACTTTCTAACAATAATAGTAAAGTTTTAACCACAATTGCTCTAATTTATCCATTAATTTGTATAACTTATAACGTTAATTTTTTTTACAAATATAACTAATATATACGAAGGTTTAGAGTGCAGGTACTTCTGATGTCTACCTGCACCTAATAATCTGCTATAGTCCATGTACATGTTCATAGATAATGGCAGTGGTTTCTGAACAGTTTTAGTATAATCCATAGTTCCTAAATTCTGATTGTTGCAGATAAAATTTGTATTGTGTAGGCATGGAGTTAGAAGTAACTATTTCAAGCCCTGCTCCCTGCAAATATCTAACGTTAACCCATGTTGGCATGTTGCATTTTCTTCTGTGCTGTAGGCATTAGCAGTGGATTTGTAACTACATGTACAGATGTAGATGTATCTAAGGTGTTTCGCATTCCTGTAGGCAGCAGCAGTGGATTTGTAACTGTCTTAAGTTCTGTTGTGTATTCCCCTGTGCTGTAGGCAGCAGCAGTGGATTTGACAGTGATGACCAGCCCAGGGCAGTGACAGCCGGAGACAGGATACGAGAGTTCCTGTTGAGTCTGCAGTACCTGCGGATCTTCATAGCTCTGTGGAACGTCTTCGTCATGTTCTGTATGATCGTACTCTTTGGGTCCTAACCAGGACACAAAAACTGCTGTATATTCAAAGACATTCAACTTCGAGTACTGAATTTAGACTCTACTACATGTACTGAATGAAAATTGCTCTTTGGGTCTCAACGACAATTCAAACTGAATAGAGTATGGAGATTACTGTGGGACGATTTGAGTGACATCCATCACTCTTCTTCAGCATCACTAGAAGGTGTATGTTATTACTGGAGACTATAGCTGGTTGTAGGACTGAACAATAGCTACTGCTGTACATAATGTGAATACATGACAATTCTGTCATCTTTACTGGTAGCTGCAGAGTCAATGTAAAGATTGCTCCCAGAAACTTACAAGAGGGACTCCTCTGTATCTGTTGTCTTTGCTCTGGAAGAACTCGTGTAATAGTGTAGCAGAATCATAGATCATGTCTGACATTGTGTCAAACTATTAAGGGTTGCCGATTGTACCATACAAGATCTGTTCCCATGTTATGATTTCCATACTACAATTTATTCCTTTAATGTTAGTAAGTTAGTACATAGGATTAGTAGATTTGACCATAGGGTTATGTTACTTACTGTGAGGAAGTCAATTGACTACCGGTATATTCTGCCAATTTTTGATGGCATGTAAATGTTTCCAGAGAGATATAAAGGAACCACTGTACACTGTATGGTATTTATAAGGAAACTGAAGTTGTTTTGGTCCAATTATAGCCTGTATGTATTTGGTGTCCAACAGTGTCACCCATGACAAATACTAGTACTGCTGTAACAGTGCAAGCACTTTTGTATTTTGAATAAAGTGTCAGTGTTACTGTAATGCCCATGTTGTATGTATGAACATGTTGGAGGCATGTGAGGGTAAGACTTTGGTGTTGGGGGATGGAAACTTCTCCTTCTCCCGAGCGCTGGCACAGAGGATGGTGAACCCTGACCAGCTGACTGCCACAACTCTGGGTAGGGAGGAAGACGCACTGAGGACACACTCAGATGCTGGGAATAACATTCAGGCTCTCCAGGACAAAGGTATGTTAGTGGCTGTCCCTAACTCCTTGAGAGAGAGAGGTGAATGAATTGTAAGATTATGCCTTGCAGAGAAACTATGAAAGCATTTAGGCCATGTGAATATGACATCTGCATGTGCTTTTTGTGTACATCTTGTGGCGGGCCATATTATACTTCTTGTGTACATCAATGTACATGTGCTTTTGAAATTTTGTATAAATCATGTCCATAACGTGTACATGTATATCATATGTATCACTATGTTTGACAGTATAAGGCTCTACTTATTGTGGCACTAGTAAAGCTGATAGATGCAGGTAGAGTTTTAAAAAAATAACTGATACTTTGCAGTTTTATCAACATCTGACCAGTTGAGCATTTGTATGAAACACTTGAGCTTTGTGTATATGGTGTCACTTCAAGAAACACATAATGTACAAGCTTGGCAAGTTGTGCTCTGTGAACCTTGAATTTTATTCCTTAACAGGTGCTGTAATCATTTTTGGAGTAGATGCCACAGACTTGAACGCATGTCTGGGACTCCGAGGCCAGACTTTTGATCACGTCATCTTTAACTTCCCTCACGTGGGAAGGAAGACACCCATCAAACGCAACAGGGAACTGCTCAGGAAGGTCTTCACAAGGTAAGGAAAGGACGAAATTAACAATACAGTCATTCCACTGCGGTGCTCATGAAAAACGTTTATTTGAGAAGCAAACAAAAGCAAAAATTAGAAACTTGCAATCATGTGTAGTCAACAGTAAAATTATGTATTATTTGCTTCTTGAAAGAACTGGAATTGAAAAATACCTATCGCATTTGACTATTCTCATGAACTGTTGTATTTCAGTGTCTGGTGTTAAAGTCAACCAAAATAACAGATAAAAGCAATGTCAACTCTGCATTTAAAGAATACTTCACAATGACATATATATATATTAGATCTAACTCCTAAGTTGCCACATGTCATCTTCCATCTCCCCAGCTGTACAGAGCTCCTGTCTGCTGAAGGTAAGTTGTACGTGACCCTGTGTCAGGGTCAAGGTGGAACACCTGCCGACCAACCACAGAGAGCGTGGCATAACTCCTGGCAGGCGGTTGCCATGGCAGCGGAGGCGGGGCTTATCCTGGGAGAGGTGGTGCCATTTTGTGCTGAAGACTGGGAAGTGTACATGCCGTCTGGGTACAGGTGAGCTACAAGTCAACTTCTGGTTTGTTTACACAAGAAAATTGATACTCAAGCAAGAACATAGATTTTTGAAAACTGTTTGACATGTCTACTTCTCATCAGTCATTCAGTGGATGCTAGTTGAAACGTCGGACTGTTTTCAGAAATCTATGCACTTGCTTGAGTAACAATTTTCTCATTATCTGGATGTCTAGCATTCGTTGACGCTCTGTTTTCTTTGTTTGTTTGAACATTTGTGTATTCATGAAAGAATGAACTCTGCCTGCTGCCCACATTTCATTGAGGGAAGAGGGCAGGGTCAGACAAAATATAACAACATACTGCTGGTTACAACATTGGAGACCTAGGAACAGAATCTATAGTTTTCCATCATTGTTACATTATTGTTAGTAAATGCCCAATTTTATCTCATTTGAAAATACTACATGTACGAGGAATTAATTTCAGGTTACGTCCATATTTCAGGAGCAGAGATAAGGCTTTCCACACAGAGGGTGCGCTAACCCACATCTTCGCACAGAGCTGCCCCCTGGCACCTGTGACACAAACTGCACCCACACTGTTAGCCAGAGTGGAAGGCAGAGACAGGCTATTCTCTAAACCTGCTGGAATAAGGCATAAGATTGGCAGGTCGGTTCAAATTATTTCATAAACACAGACATATTCCTAGCCTCTACCAGGCTTCAGGCTTCAAAGAATACAAATTGGTCAAATAGACAGATAACATGTCAGGGTAGTTGGTCCGCTAAAGGAGTAGAGGTTGCTGCTCACTGAACTCTTAGTGGACCAAATTTCCTGACATGTTATCAGTCCATTTGGCCAATTTGTGCTCTTTTCAGCTGCTTTTGAAGCTTGGTAGTTGCTAAAAGATTGCACCTATGCCTCAAATGGTTCATCACAATTGATGTACTACTAAGTATTTACAGATTATTGGTGTGAGAGCTTCAGCCCTTTAACTGTATAGTATACCTTTTCCTAAATCCCTGTAATAAATTTGGTATCTTACTATTTGACCTACAGAAACCTACATCAGAAGGAGGACCATCCTGTTGCCATGGTAACCAAACAACTGTTAAGTCTTCTTGAAGAAACTTTTGGTGTTGATCATCTGAAGACGGAAGACTTTTCTATCGTCTGTTCCTCGGCTGATGTTGACATGGCTGGTAAGATGTCAGGGTGCTTACTAAGTATTCATTATACACCCTATAGCCTAGGTCACATTAGCACATATACATTTATCATGGCTTTCCTTGGATATTTGGTCAACATTGCATCATAATTTTGCCTGATGCAGACAGTATCTTTTTCAACACGACACTTAAAAACCATAGACAGGATCCTTAGATATGCAAATACAACTTTAAACGAGACATTCTTCCAATGTTCTACACAGAATACTTAACAGATTTTACTCAGGCACAGTATATTTTGTTGATACCTTGCTGTTTGTCAAATCATGTTTAGGTTTGTTGACCCCTAATGTGTTTCCTTCAGTTTGTTGTAATAATGACTATACATGTATGTATGATTTATCTCACCTGTATGTGTAGATGCACTAAGCGATGGTCAGGTGAAGACAAGACTGATCCAGGTGAAAGAGGATGGTACAGAAGAAACATCAGCTGACCACACCTGCTGGTACCTGCGGCCCAGTCTGACAACACACCTGTCCACAATCCTACAGACATCACTACAGCCTGGGCTCATGCATGTACTCACTGGTAATCACAACTGCCTTATGTATTTTATTTATTGGTTTGGCTGTTCAACCCTCACAGCCAGGCCAGTGGCTATTACAAAGGGCTTGTCCTGCTGACAAGACATAACAAAACAGCACAGCAACATATAAGGTGGCTTAACAATCTAATTACACTATTCTATGTAAATAAAAGCTTTCTACAAAGGAACTAAATCTATGTGGAGAGGTTATATACAAAGTCACGTGCCAAAGAGACATAGTTATCAGCTCTGCTATCTACGTTGCCTCAATTAATATTGACAATGTTTGTTTACAGGTGAGGTGTTCTCTCACTGTGCCATCTCTACTCACACCTGTCCTGTGCAGTACCAGCTTTTGGGAATACTCATTCTTCCTGAACACACTGGAGACAGTAGTGATAGCAGGGAACTAGCAACAGTGGATAACTCATGTCAAGTACACCCGAGTACCATACCTGGTATGCTCTGTACTGAACCAACTACAAACTTACAACAAGGCCCAGGGATTGGAATCAAAACCCAAGCTGCCTCCAACCCACTAAAGAGATCTGACTGTCTCTCTTCTCTACTTGGTCTAGATTTAAGGACAAAGGGCACATTTATAGACATGAAGGATTCTTTGAGTGACGTGTGTTCCTTTGTAAGTTGTGTTGAGCAGATAGTGTCTTCCATTGTACAGTTGGATCTTGCTCCATCCCTGTCCTCCAATAGGCAGTCTGTTAATTTATTGGCTGCTAGCAGTACAGACAAAAGCACTCATGTCCCAACAGGTCAAGTGTTTGTTCTGAACCAGGGTATTTTACCAGGCTGTAGGATACCTGGGCACAGAGTTTTGTGCTTCACACTGAACTTAGACAGGTTAGCACTGCTGAAATTCAGCATTCCTGACGTCAGGTTGCTGTGGACTGAAGACAAGCGTTTCTACGAACAATTCAGAGTTCAATCCCACCCAGCCACACCTTCTGTAACATACCTTGAGTTCAGCAAGTTCCCGCCCTCCTACAGCTACGACATCAGTTTTTGGGAAAACCCCAATGCAGACTTCTGTGAGGATGATTTCATGATGTTACTACGTGATGTGAGCCATGATGTTGTGACAGAGGCGACTGTTATTGACTGTTACACTCAGCCAGACACGGGGAGAAAGAGTAGGTGTTACAGACTGACTTTCCAGGCTCCTGACAGGGCCTTGAGCTCTTGTCATGTTAAACAGATCATGGCAGATCTAGGGAAAAGACTTGGGCAAGATTTGGGTTTACAAGTCAGATAGTGTTGTATAGTAGTATGAAGCCTCTACCAAGCTTCAGGGGTGCCTGAAAATGACAACTAGACAGATATCATACAAAAGGGAGTTGGTCTGCTAAAGAAGTACTGGTTGTCGCTTCTTTAGCGGACTTACTTCCCTGGCTTGTTATCTAATTGGCCAATTTCTACAATTACTGTCTCTTGAATATATGTATTGAATAGCAGAAAAATGTGTACATATTAAGGAGTTACCATGCACTTAAAGTTATATGTAAAATACTTTTCATATTTCAGTCTACTACTGTTCATTGTGATAGCATGTTGAATGGGTGGTACATGTACAAACAAATTACAGTACTCAGAGATATGTTGGTACAAAACTACATATTTAATACATGTTTCACTCCTACATTGTAGGTTACAATGCCTAGCTGCTTCACAGTCTTGCAATGCTCTGAGCTTCCAATGCTTGTAGAGCAACTACAGCAAGCAACATAGCTTGTATCCCCTCAAATACTCCAAGCTAAGTCATTAATTTTAGTGATCATGTGATATGCTTCTTACAAATAAGAATAGATAAAGTTTATTGCGTACAAACATTGTGACATTTTAAAGGTGTATGGCAGGTGATAATGAATGTTTGATAGTTTATAATTAAAAATGCTTAGCAGCTTATTACACTTAATACTAGGAACACCAAATGCACTGTATTGCATATGCAATGTTATTATAACACTCGCAACCTTGAACTAGCTTTTATGTGAATAATAGTACATTTCTAGTCAAGCAGAGCACCAATTGTTATTTGCACATTAACACTGCAGTATACATGTATATGTAAAACACCCACACACTGGACTTCATAGATGCCTACAGTTACATGCACCAGTAAGAAATGGGCACAGCAGTCATGTCTTGTTTCAGACATTCAACATATTACAACTGCACAGCAGGTTTAAATGCAGTCTTAAATCAGTGGAAAGCTGGCAATGTTTGGCACGAATATAGTGCTTAGGGTTAGAAATTTTGATGACTTTGTGCACAAGCAGTTGCCTTTGATAAATTTGTGAATCAGTGTCAATTGATAAAACCCTGCATATTGTTTAATGGACACGGTTACAGGTGCATGTAACTGGCATCAACAACTTCTAAAATACCTTCCTTAATTTCTTGAGACTTGAAATAATGCAATGCAAAATGCCAGCTATCCCCTAACCAAACCATTTCTAAATTCCACATGCATGTAAAATATTCATAATCATGCAATAGGTAGAACAAAAGAAAACATCTTCATAATTGCCTTAATAAAGATGACAGTCATCGAAATGTCAGCTCTTGTTAAATAAGTGGTTGTGAGTAAAGAACTTTGCTATTCAATCATTCACCAACCTGATGAAATTATTCATTGAGAAAACATTGAATTTTCAATAGGTTTGAGAAGCCTGATATAGACACAAATGTATTTGCAATACCAGCCACAAAATGAACAACAGGCACTTAGATATGCCTCAAGTCCGTGACATTGATGAAATATCCTTTAAAAGTCATGATCATTGTCGCATTTATGTGTAAATTCATTAGCGAAAAAATTCATACTTTGAGATAAGGTCAACACTTTTGCCTGTATCCAGCAATCACTAGTCAGATATATAAAACCTGATTTAGCTATTTGGAGATATCCATATCTATACTATGTTTGCTAACATTAACAGTGTACAAATCACAATATTAACTTCTATTATTAACACAACCTTTGAAACCTAGAAACCATGCAAGCATACCTTACAAAGAGCAATTGATGACTAGTTTTTCATAATTACAATTTATCACTTCTATGATTTATGGAAGGCATTTTCTACACTCCCTTTTACAGGGGACCTACTGCAGAGCCCTATAGTGTGCAACAATATGATTCATGCAGATATTTCCTCTGTATCAGGCCTTACAAAAACTAGCACAGCAATCCATATTTGCTATAGTACTAGCAATGCAGCTGTCAATGTCAATACTAAAGAGAACCATCCCACCATACTGGGACATTGTAAAGTACTTGCAAATAGCTGACAACTTCTTATCCACATTCAGTTCACAATTCATAACACTCATTGTGGTAGATGTTGGTATCAGGTTAAATGTAAGTATAAGGAAATCTCTGAAATTGGATCGCACAGGTATTCATGTTGGCAGCTGCAATGCTATTTAAGAACACTACATGTTAGTTCACTGGTATTTGCTTTGCAACAGTCCTTCATATCACAACACAAATCCAGTCCAATCATGCTATCTGCGCCGCTCTCCCTTCTGTGTCCGCTTTTTCTCCTTCTCCTTCCGCTCGGCCGCCTTCTGCTTGTCCTTCTCTCGTTGCTGTAGGTAAACCAAGAATCACATACATGATATTAGCTACTATCAGTGATAAAACAAGACATTAGCTACTAGCTAGGGCAATGCAGCTTTGCCAAGCACATTGGGTCACCCCTACTCTTCTTGGGGAAGTCGGGGTGTTGGGTTGTTATAAGTGCAGAGGTTGAACACTATAGGCTCTCCCATACACAGGGCCGCCGGCTTTACTTACTCATCCAACAGGACAATGGGACTGGTTTTCCAGGCAGACAAGGGCACAAACCCAGGCCATAGGCGCCACAGAAATTGAACGGATGTGGGGATTATCAGAATGGGCAGACCACTACACCACATAGACACTCTAGGTACTTTTACTGACATCCCAGAACTCACCATTTTGTCCTTCTCTCTCTTGACTCGTACCTCCTCCTTGGCCTTCTCCCTGGCCTGCTTCTCTGCCTGCTGAACGTTACTTTTGTTCATGTTTTTGAAGCCCAGCAAGTCACTGTTACTGGTCTCCTCACTGTAACTGTAACCTTCATCTTCTTCATCAGACACCTCAGCATACTGTATGGTGAGATGACAAGATTGTTAAGATCAATGAATAGGATAAGCGCTCAGATGTTTCAGCAGCATATTGTTGCACAATGGATTTTTGTTCTTAAGTTCCAGCATACAATACATGTATTCTTTCAGTATTACTGCACACTTCCTTAGGACTAGGATAATCTCCAAGCAGATCTATATTGCTACGGTGACAAGGCTCAAATTTGCCACTATAGGATCAGCCAAAACATTGGAGATTAGGACTAGGATATGTTTCAGAGGCATTTGCGTTTTTGACCTACATTTTGTAATACTCATAAACAGGATCTTTGACATATCAAAAGACAGTCATGAGATTGGGAAAAAACAATCTATGATGATGATCAACATAATAATAAATCATAATAAAATTTCTGGGTCACCGATAAAAATTTTGATCCAGAAACTACCCTGAGGGTCTTTAATTTGTAGCCTCTACCAGGCGTCAGGAGTGGTTGGAAAGAGTAGAAATTGGCCAAATAGACAGATGGCAGGGGAGTTAGTGTGCTAAGGAGTACTTGAGGCGGCAAATGTACTTATTTGGGGACCAACTCCCCTGGTATGTTCTCTTTCCAATCGCTCCCAAAGCCTGGCACTGGTAAGTATGTATTATGTACCTGCGCTAGCAGTGCCTGTTTGGTCGCAGCGTTGTTCTCCTCGTTGCCCTGTTTCTTGACTATGGTGGCGGCCTGTTTCTCCATCACACTGGCCACCGTCTTCTTGTCCGGCTGGTCCGTCCTGTCCGCAGCGGCTGCCTCGGCGGTCAGCCTCAGCCATGTTTGCACGATCCTGTTGCACGTTTCCTCCACATCTTCCTCCACGAATTCGGACAAGAAGTCCACTAGGGCTTCGTTCTTCTCTTCCTCCGTCTCGGCAGAGTCCAGGATGCCGCTGATGTACGTCCCGTACACCTCGTGATCGACGTTTAGGTCCTGAAGTTGTCCCGAGAGCCAGAGGGAGAACTTGCTCTCGCCTTCCTCCCTGGCCGCCGCCATCTTGGAAATCAATTCATACTTTTAGGTGCCCTTACTTAGTAATACTAGTGCCTTAAAGTTTATTGACCATAAAAGTGTATAACAAAGCGCTGTCTAGAATTCATAGCATGAATATATCAAAAAGAAAACCGTGAAAAAGTTTTAAAAAACTAAATTGATGTTGAAAAGCTGTGTTTTATTTTTTGTTTCGGGACATTTTTGCAGGCACAAATGATTTACTTTCTGGGTCACCGCACAATGTTTCAGAAAGATTGGTTACCTGACAGATACATGCAGTGCCAGATTTTACAACAAAAATGTATGTTTGGGGCAATTTTAAATCATCTTTTATCACACTGGGAGTTTTTCTTGCATGCCAAAGAATTTTGTTTTGTGGTGTCTCTTCACATTCTCCCATTTCTTTAACCCAGGGCTGATTATTGGAAGTCCCAGCCGAGACACTTTTGTGAGTTTTGCAAGTGTTGGATAGCTGACAACAAACCTGTAAGTACGCCCCCCACCCCACCCCAGGCAGCCAGTAACATTTCAACCTCTATGTGCGTGATTTACATCAAAACGGGCGCCGACAGATCTTTGGAATATCAATAGCAACAAGAAATATGAGACTCCAAACCTCTGGGAAGTATATAGTGCATAATGTTTAATTTATAACAACTGCTGACTGCAGTATAGCCGTGGCGACTATTGATTCGGGCTTACATTGCATTACCCTCAGCAATAGTCGTGGAAAGATCCATTGGCAGAACTGCACATTTCCCGTTGGCTGCTCGATGCTCCGTTTTTGACCCGGTTTTTTGCTGTCCCGAGCTTCCCTACAATATAACTCCACAATTGGCCGGGTTGCCGATGTTTAGATCAGCCTAAATATTCCACAGCGCGACAGAAAAGTAGTAAAATAGCTAGTCGGCACAAGCTGGCGCCATCTTGGATATAGTCGGGAATGTCCGCTACCGCCGTCGGGAACGCTCGGTAGCCTTTCCGGTTATAATCGGAGAGCTTTCGGTCGGGCTTCGGTAATCGTGACGCTACCGAGCGTTCCCGACGGCGGTAGCGGACATTCCCGACTATATCCAAGATGGCGCCAGCTTGTGCCGACTAGCTATTTTACTACTTTTCTGTCGCGCTGTGGAATATTTAGGCTGATCTAAACATCGGCAACCCGGCCAATTGTGGAGTTATATTGTAGGGAAGCTCGGGACAGCAAAAAACCGGGTCAAAAACGGAGCATCGAGCAGCCAACGGGAAATGTGCAGTTCTGCCAATGGATCTTTCCACGACTATTGCTGAGGGTAATGCAATGTAAGCCCGAATCAATAGTCGCCACGGCTAACTGCAGTATGGAAACTATAATGCTACATAATTTAAAAGATGGGTGATTTTTTTTCTACAGCTTTAGTACCAACCTCCGTGAACTTATACAAACTATTGTCTTCCCCTTCTAGAGTCGAGACTTCCATGAGAAAGGAAAAAGACATAAAGAAAATGTGGAACGCAAGATTAAGGAGGTATGGAATATTTACATAATGATACATACATATAAATGTTACATTGATATGTAACTAATATTTATATGTGAATATAGATAATTTATAGAACATTTATAGATGTATAGTTACATCTTTACAGATTTTTAATCATCTTAAATATTTAAAATCAAATGTTGTTAAAGCAGTGTAAAAGAACCCAACACACTTATCGATAAAAGTATGTGCTTGGCTAAATGTGCGAGCAGAAGTGATTACAGTGAAGCTACATTCACTAGTACATGTAGCTACTTGGCTAAAAGGCTCATGCTTAACTTCACAATCACAAAAGAAAAAGAAGGGCCACAGAGTACTGTATGTGCAGAATAAATGTCTCTGATTTTGTTGGTTTGTAACAAATAGTCATTCTAAAATATTTGAATATTTTGTGCCCAGGTACGTGAGAAGAGTGAGGACCACTGGAAAGTCCAACAGGAGAACAAGGACTTCCTTCAGCAGATGGAGGCAGTAAGGCAACATTTTTGTTTTCAAGAAAATGCTTTTGAGTAAGATAACACTAATGCCAGATACCTGAAAAATAAGGTAAAAGAATTAGTATTGTAGTTTGTTTTTATCTGTGAGGTGGTGTTGGACACATAACACAGCTAGTGTCACAAGTGTGTGTGTTTCTTGTTTGTTTTCATATGCATAGCCTAGTGACCATTCTCAACAGGGGCCGAAAAAAACAGTATCAAATTGGCCAGACAATGGATACTGCCTGGCCAATTTGATACTGTCTTTGCGGCCACCAAAAGATCTACATGTACTAGCTTGGAGATCAGTAGTGTGTGCCATGACAGTCTGATTCACCATGCTACTACGTACTGTATGCTCTGTGAGTGGGGGTGAAGTCTGCCATCTCTGACTGACTTGTTATCTGTTTGAAGGCTGCTCTGAAGGCTGCTGCAAAGGACATTGCCAGTGACCCATCCCTGGCCAGTCAGTATGGCATCAACACACCTATCCAGAGACCTCCCACAGTCAACATAGACACAGGTAGATACATCTGTACATGCAGGGCTCGAAATACTTTAGTTTCTGTATACCTGCACTTGTGCAGGTAACATTGAATATTATAATACCGGTAAATAGTAATTACCTACACTTTGCCTGCACCACTCAGAATTTGGAAGTACAGTATAGACAATAAAAAATGCTCAGAAACCATTGCCATTATTTCTGTCATACTTCATAGGTGGTAACAGTCAATGGAGCAAATAAGAATCCATATATACATGTACACGGTCACAAAAGTGAATATGACATGATGCTAGTACATGTATGTGATGATGATATGTTTTCTGCAGTTTCCAGTTGGGCCGTGCCTGGCAAGAAGGTGGAACAGAAAGCCAGTCAGCCAGAGGTATGCATGACATTACGTATGATTTGTGAAATATGGTACTAATACTGATGTTCACATGGCTTTTCAGTTGCAAATCGACTGGAAAAATATCATGCTTTAAGTTTAACCCTGGAAAAATGATTGAAATGTTGCTGTATGATATGCTTTGCATTGGTCAGTGGTAAGAACTTCTAGTGAAAAGTTTTCCAGCCATTCAGTAGCCATGGCTTGTGTTCATGCTAAAATATAGCAATTGCCCATTGAACCAAGGAGCTGTGATGAAAGCTCCTTGATTGAACAGAACATAATTGAATGGGAGCATTTGACTATGATATAATTGATGCAGTCAGTATACAGTACTATAAAAAGGACTCAGGCTGCTGTGCTTACTGAGGTGAACCAAGAAATGAGAAACCCTGTGATTTTTGCAAAGGGTGAAACTAGCTGATCTAGCAGTAATTGGAAAACTTTGTGCTTGGTTGCAATCTGCGTGCAGTGACTAAAGCAATCATCCCCCTGAAAGGAACTATATTCACATTACATGGTTCAAAGGACAATACTGAAGGCTCTGTGCTGTATATAGATGTTACAATGATTGCCCTTCACCCCATTTCTGTGTTGCGCGCTATGGTAATGTGTTTTCAAACCATATGAAGCCTACTGCAGTCACTTGCTCAACCATGCATAATAGTTGCATGAAAACTGGATAGTTTCATAAATGTGACACAACTTATGTTAGTGTAACAAAATCTTGACCAAATAATTATAATTACATCTTTACACTCTGCTTACAGTACCATTTGAGTGTTATCAGTGAAAAGCAAAAAAAATATGATGTCTAAATTATTCTTGAATTTCCTGTTCATTTAGGGGGAAGCAGACAGTGGCCCATGGGTAGAGAGCACCAGTCCAGAGGGATACACCTACTATTATAACACTGTGACAGGAGGTAGGGACAATGCTACTAGTAACTTAAAGTACAGATGTAAGTTACGGCTTACGTGTCATCAATCAAGTCCTACCTTTTGAGTTACACATGGTAACTTACATTGAACGACAACTATGTGCATACTAGTACATTTGTGTGAGAGGGGAAAATACATGTACATGTAGTTATGTTTCATCATTTGTCACCAGTGGTAAGTGCATCATGTTTATTTCATTTGAAGAAACCCAGTGGGAATTACCATCCAGCTTGAAAACATCAGAGGAAGCAGACAAAAGTGTGGGCTCAGAGAGAAAAGCAGCAGCTAAAGCAACAGAGAACACTAGTGAGGTAGGAAGCTTCAGGTTTAAAAGACTCTTAATGATTATGACAAGTTTCTTTTCCTTCTAGAATTATTTGCCACGTATCTAACAGCATAGGAATGATGATATATCGACAATATTGTGCTACCCATTTATAGTCTTAACCTGACTGTATTGCATGTTGTTTTATGTCATTCTTAACTTACCCTCAAAGCACAAGGATGAGCTACATGCAATTGTGTCATTTTCCTTGATGTTTTTACAGTCAGAGAAGAATGCAGACTGTCCGTGGGTACAGGGGACTAGTGAAGAAGGACATGTGTATTACTACAACACTCAGACTAGAGGTAATACTAGTGTAACATTCATGGGAACTCTGTCACTGTTAATGAATCATCAAGTCTTTTAAAGGATGACTAATGCAGTCCTTTTTCTCTGTATTTGCAGTGGAATTTTTTAGATGTTCACCCTTCATTGAAAAAAAATTGAGGCAGCTGTATGTTAACATAGATACACAGTAAAAGGGTGATAACGTTATATATGTTGATCGGTTTGGCAACATTTTTACATATAAGAGTTGAGATGAGCAACAAGATGACTGTGGTGCACACATAAAAATGTACATTATCATAAAGTTATTTTTGCTTTGTTAAGAATCACAATGGGAAAAACCAGCCAACTTCACCACTGCCACCAAAGAATCAAAATCACAGGAAAACAGAAGTGATGAGAAAGAGGAGAATGATCCTGAGGAAGAGGTGTCTACAAGCTCCAGTATTAAGGTGAGAAAGTGTTAAGTACATCAAGGAAGATGAACTTTCTGAAAACCATGTTCATGTGTACGTATTTGATACTTCTTTATCATGATACAAGTGTGGCAAAAGATACGAGAGCCCCTAAGTCTGTCCAAAGTATGCACACATACCTCTCATCTCTAGTTGAATGGTTGAATAGATCTGATGTGTTTTGGTTGTATAGGAGGAGGAGGAGAACTGTCCATGGGTAGAGCGCACCAGCCCTGAGGGATACACATACTACTCCAACACTGTTACAGGAGGTATGGACAGGCCTATTGCTACAGTTAGCAGATATATACAATCTCATACATAGCAAGACCTGACATAGCAGCATATATATAATAGTACACTAGACCTACCAGTACTACTAAGGTACAGGATGTATGCACCTCCCAAGGTACATGTATCTTTTTTTAGATTTGACTGTAAAGTAACCAGTCAACAGCACATAATTTTTTGACAGGTTAGTTCATGACATGAATGATAACACAGTGCATTTGATCAAGTACACCAGAACATCCATTTCGACCGTCATCATGACCCAGCAATGACATAAATGTTTTTCTTGTTGCTTTGAAAAGAATCTCAATGGGAAAAACCATCCGACTTCACCACTGGAAAGTCAACAGAAGGGACATCCAAAAAGGTCAAGAGAAAAGACGAGAAAGAAGAGCAAAAAGAGGAAGCCTCTGCTGAAGTGAGTGTAAGCTTAAGTTTCCTTGTGTACCTCCATTAAACCATCTGATTTGTACAGTACCATTATAGACAAGGGTGACAGACCACCAAAATACTTGTGTCATACATGTAGTGTCACTGTATGACATATCTATCACTATTCAAATAGGCTGTTGATGTTTTTCCCTCTCCTGGTATTCAGGAGAAAGTTGGAAAAGGTGAAGGAGAGGAAGAAGGAGGAGAGAAAGAAGAAAAGAAAGAAAAGAGACCACTGAAGAGAAAATCTGCATACGGTGCATGGACAACAGTACAGCAGACCAGGTCAGACATTGATACATTGTTCAACAACATTCTAGTGTCAAATGCAGCCTGTATGCCAGTGTTTCTAGTGTACAAAGGTTGCCCATCCTGCAGTATTGAAATGTTAGAAGACAATTGGAACAATACATGGTTATTTGTATTCCTCTTTTGAAATACAAAATGTAAGACTCTTTCAACACTGAATTATTTCTGCTTTAACATATACAAAATGTACTAGTGCTGTAAGATGATTCTGAGGGCATCAATGTCAATGTTGTACACTGACTTTACAGCCAGAAGATAGACCTCCAGCTGCCCTGTGGGGCTGCCGACCAGAAGCCTGACCCAACGCCACAGTTCACAGAAGAGCCGGTACGAGTCAAGTTCAAGGAAAAAACTGTCACCTCGTTGAGCTCTGGTGTATTTTCTAGTGAAGAGCCCGTTGGATTTAAGAAGAAGAAAGTGCGGGCCAATCGTAGCATCAGGAGAAGAGATGACGAAGACTAGTGGATCTGGTGTTACTGTGACAATTTTATGTGATCTACAAGTGTAAGATATTGTAACCATTCATACATCTGACATTTTCTCTTTTGTACTTATGTTTTTTGCCACACTTTGTGAGAAGCACAATGATACAAACAATATACATGTATGTAGAATGTGAAAGCTTGTTGTTTATATGAAATATCAAGTAAACAAAATCATTGAAGTGACTTATAAAAGGAGTGCATGTTTTTGCTTTTTTTTTCTTGATCAAATCTTGACTATTCCTGTATATTATTCATTTATGGAAAGCACTGGGATACACCAACCACAAGACCACCTTACCACCCGCTGGTTCCAGCTACAGTGGCGATGCCACCCAAGATCAGACACTAATCAAACCCACACTGATCGGGTCATTCTTGCCTAGGTTGGAATGGAGAGGTTGACCTGCGGCAGGTCACCCTGCTAGGAGTCTGACAGGAAACAGTGACACTGACAGGAGGACAACTGGCAGACTAGCCTAACCATGTCCTGACTTACTCAGGGGAGAAGGTCTCTTTTACAGGGTTGTGTCCATGAGGTCCCGTCTGCCATGCCTTTTGGATGAACCCTGGCAAAGGCAGGCCTAAAAATTTGCAGGCAATAAGGTCTTCTAAAAGTGCCAAATCTGTTCAATATGTGACTGTAATTACCTGCACAAAAGTTCATCCGCTGTAACATTTTAAAAGTTAAGAGTTATTACCAGACATCGGAAGGCATGCCAATTATGTAGACTTCTTGGCACCAAAGGGAAGGGTGAAGTTGTACAACTGCCATTTCTTGGCAGTCATGTGCTGTTGATATTACCCATTTGAGACGATGTTGCTGTGAGTAATTAGTTGAGAAAAGACAAATACAGCCAAGTGGAAGAGTGGAAAATTTCATTATCAGCACCCCTCCTGGTACCTTTCTTAAGTACCGACCTGAATTGATGGCATGAGTCCCAGTGTAAAGAAACTTTTGGCTTAGTAAGGGGGGATTTCTTCCATCAATGAACATTGTGAACCGAATTTTGAAGCAGACAAGCATCAAATTCAGGTTACTTCAGGTACTTAAGCAAGTTGAAGTAGTACAGTAGCACCACTTGCAGATAATCGTTCCCATGTGACGTGTGTACCGGTTTACAGCCAGGGTGTACTCATAGAGAAGGTCTCTCCAACTGAGATGAACTCTCTAGAAAATACAGACAAGCCTGCTCTCAACAGCCACTCAATGGACTGAGGAAAATGACTACTGAGAAAGCGTGGCTGTCCCAGACAGGGTTGGTCAGAATTGACACATGAACATGTATCTGGTAATAGGCTTACGCACGTATATATGCATGTACATGTACTGAATAATAGAACACACACAATAACGTCAGAGCAAATATTTTAATTGTATTCAGGTGCACTTGATGCGAATGTAGTAACTATGTGGTCAACTGAAAACTGAGCAAACTCAGAAGTTTATGTATATATATATAGTCATATCTTTTACATTAGGCCACAGCATGTAATTTCATGGATGACATTAGCGTGTGCATTGATTTTCGCCCAATTTAAAAAAAAAACGAATTTTTGATGCCCTCCAACTGATCAACTTGCCGAAAATATGAATGTGACAAATACAAATTAAGAATGCTATTATGATGCAATAACTCATTGGCGCACCCTGTTCTGTGACCAGCCGTTTCGCATGGCCGGTTGACCGCCGCGCCGAAAGGCGTAACATACCAATTTTGTACAGTAGCTAAGTCAGTGAACCGTGTCAAATGAAAGAAATGTAACAGTTCGGCAGACGTCCAGACTGTTGTCTCTTCCTGCCGAGTGATAAGGAGGTAAAGATGCTGGATTGTCTCGCTGCATTCCTCCTAAATTCGCTATTACGCTATTCGAGACCAAACGTGTTTCACAGTCTGCCAGCTAATCTCCCTAGCCTGAGGGTCAGCCTTAGCCTTCGTCCGCTCCCCACGATCCGCTACCGGCACTGACCGTGGGGAGCGGACGAAAGCTTTTTAGGCTGATCCTCAGGCTATAATATCTCAACAGATCTTTTGATGGCTGGAAGACAGTATAAAAGTGGCAATGTAATATCATTGGCAGTGTATTATCAAATACGCCCAAAAAGATACCGGTACGGAAAAAGAAAACACCGATAAAAACGTCTAAAACACTTAAAAAATAAGCCGAAGCCTAGACCTCTGTTTGGAGAGTACATATTCAAAAGCACGCCCAAACCCCTGTACATTTCTGCTGATAAGGCACTGGTGTTACACCGGCTCTTAGGTGTACTTCTGGCTCGCACTGTTCAAAGAAATTGACGCTCATCTGCTGGTCAGTTACAAACAGTTCTCATGGCTTTGATTTTTGTTGGCAGTTTGTGGCAATACGCCCCTTCTTTCTAGATGTGCTTCTTGAGTTGCCGTTTTATAGTGAATCAAGAGAGCTGGGTGGGCCACAGAATTATTCGCTTGAAGGCAGGCAATACGCACCACTGCTTCTTTACAAGCTTAAGCTTCTTTACAGCAGTTACATACGATGATCTGATTTTAAGATATTCCAAGATACAAGACTGATACCAGAAGACAGTGACAGAGTGTTGTAAGTGTCCAAGTCCTGTCCAGACGGACACCTGCCGAAGAACACGTCAGCATGTTGTTGATGAGTTGGACTTTTTGTTCCTTTAAGCGGTGGGCAGTTGATATGTTAAGGTCGAGTTGCAGGTAAGCCTGGTCTTCTCTGGAGTAGCGAGGCCATGTCTCAAGGTCAAGGTCGGGTGTGGTGTCGGTGTCTCGCCTGTTGGGGTCCCTGGGGAAGACGAGGATCACATTTAAAACTCAGGTTATGACTTGGTATTGACATAACAGAACCAGATCAAGCCGTGTCTAGGTCTTTATCAGACTTCCATACTTTCCGAACCCTACATTAATCCGCAACAAAACGTGCCGCTGGCTTACCCAGTTTTCACGAAGTTTGTCCAGTAGGACAAAAGCTTCCGACTGAGAGCTCGCTCATCCTCCGTGAAGTTCAGTCTCCAGGTCGTGTTTTCCGGGTTTCTCGGCCAGTCGAAGAAAGGAGCGCCGAACACAAACAGCAGGTCGTCCCCGTGGTCAGCTTTGATGTGGTCGGGCTTGTTGTGGTGCCAGGAGGGACGATGTTGGAACTCGTACAGGTACACAGGGATATCTACGGTGAGAAAACCTATGAATGACATATTTCAGTTCTTGTGCTCCATGTGTAGTTGCATGTTATGATATCACCATGCTAATCAATAATCATGTAGCCTGTACATGTGATTATCATTTACCCATATCGTATGTGGCGTGCCGTATATGTACACGTAACGTTACTACTGTGAAGATTCATCTCTGTAGGTCTATATATTTCCGTGTAGGGCCATATCACACACGTGTAGCGATATACCTCATGTGCACTGCCATGTATCTCACGCGTAGAGCCATATCTCACACGTGTAGTTCTATGCCTCGTGTGTATGTAGTGCCATATCTCACATGTGCATTGTCATGTCACGTGTAGTGCTGTACCTCACATGTGTAGAGCCGTTTCCAGTTTTGCGCAAATATCTCACCTGCTGCGTACATCGCCGTGTTGACCGTGGGAACCGTCATGATAATATCTCCGAGGATCTGGTTCAGTGGATCCAGTTCTTCCATGTACAGGTCCAACAGGGCATTGGGGATGAACTTGCTCAAGTCGACTCCTTCCTTACACTGGGTCAAAGAATTGATGGAACCAAGAAGAAGGTTACGGTGTATTGTGTCCTGAACCATCGTACCTATCTAGTCTAATGCCTGAATAGCTGTTAGAGTTAGGCTCAGGCACGGTCCTGGATAGTCTCTGCGCATCCAATAACGGTTTAATCCAGGCACGGTTCTGGATACGCGTGGACTATCTAGAATCGTTATGAAGCAAGTTTAGACTGTAATTTCCAACACAACAAATTGGACTCACCCAAATTTTCGACTGTACAACTCCAGTCTTTGTCAAGGAATGAGCAATCCACCGCTTCCGTGACGTCACGGAGATAACACACGTGACTCCGTGAGCAGTGGATCATAGGTTGCAAAAAGTCCGTGGCGCCCCCCGTCTCTGTTGTTGGCAAAGACTGGAGTTGTACAGTCGAAAATTTAGGTGAGTCCAATTTATTGTGTTGGAAATTACAGTCTAAACTTGCTTCATAACGATTTCTACCAACACAGATGAACTTTCAAGATAATATCCAGAATCGTGCCTGAGCATGGTTCCGGATAGCGCACGGTTCGGGATATACGGGTTCACATTCCAAGCAGATGGAAGGTCGCGAGTGTCTGTCTACCGAGCTTCAACACGGCGCTGTGCACGCGATCGTGCATTCGAGCTGTAAACGCTTCGTGTATAGGGAATGGGGCATTATGAAAGTGTTACCGCTGAAATTACCTACATGAAAGTTGCCTACATGAAAATGTAGGTATTGTTTTCGACCTGTCTGTAACGGTAAACGTTAAAGGTAACATCGCTGTGCATATAGTGTGTTAATGCAAGGTCATTTGCATAATTGATATTAAAATGTTGGAACAAGACCTTGCACATGGATAGGACTTCGCATGTATAATATGTAAGAAACATAAGAAATATATGTAATTTTTGAGTTGAGTTAAGTTGAGTTCAAAAAACATAATTATATAGAATAGATTATGCTACATGTACATGTAATCATCACCATATTATCTCCGTGATAGTTGAGAAAAATCCCAAAACCAAATGAAATTACAAAGGCTCTAAATATTTTCATGTAGGTATGAGATCTCCGAGTTCTTGTTATAGATGTGATTTCAGATAAACAAGTTGATTGTAGTATCTCACCTGAAAATGGTTCCCATATGAAAGGACGATTTTTCTCCGGATGTCTCTCCGGCAGTGGTTAGTAATATAGTTCCAAAACCAGGCATTTTCTCCCAGAACGATATAACCCAACTCATGATTGGTGACACCCAAGAGGTACTCAATGTTCTTCACCGGCCCATTCTTCAACAGCGTTTTCGGGTGATCCGGTAAGAAGAAACCGTCAACGACAGGCCCGTTCCACGCCGTCTTCGGCAACACCTTTACGAAATCTTCTGTTGATGCATTTCTCAGACACGCCAAAGTCTCCGAAAGAGGGAGATTTTCTGGGCACATCCATGAAGACCTGACGAAGTCATCCACTGGAAGGCGTTTGTTTGTGTATACGTGGGGTGGTATTGTCATGGCCGCGCCGCTTTGGGATATTGCCCGGTGGAACAAGCCGTCGGTGAGGGGGGAAAGCACCAGGAGGTCCACACTCAGCCCGCCCGCAGACTGTCCTGCTATGGTCACCTGTTCGGGGTCCCCGCCGAAAAAATGGATGTTACTTTGTACCCAACGAAGCGCGCTGATCTGGTCTAAGAACCCGACGTTCCACGGAGTTTTCTCGTCTCCAGTGCCTAAAAATCCCAGAGCGTCTAACCTGCAACGGCAGAAGAAGGATTTTCAATTGAGCATCTGGGATCGAGAGATGCAAATGAATGTACAACCGCACGATTAAGATGTCAGTAGATCGTAGATCATCATGCTCTTTACATATCGGTGACTTTTGATTGATGTGGTCAAGGTAACATTCCCGAGGACTTCTACATCGATTGCTAGCTTCTGATCATGAGTCCCTTCAGAGACCTGAAAGAAGTACTTAGTACCATGATTAGTACCATGTCGTTTTTCTGCATCACAAAAAGGCTTTAACTGGCTGCATACTGACTATATACATATATTTTTCTTATATGATTTTCTCCAACTCTCAATCAATCGTTCGTCTAATTCGTGGCGGCTGCAGACATGCATAGCGTTAGCGTTCTTGCGGAGTCGGCCCAGTCGACCCTCCAGTCAGTTCTGGTGACCCCCAGTCCCAACATTATTCTTGGGCATTTTAATGTCGACTCGGGTTTCCATGTCATCTATATATCTCAGACGTACGAGTATCAAGATTTTTTGTACTGACCTGTAGTTGATGATGACCACGACGATGTTACCCAGCGCGGCCAGGGCCCGGCCATCGTACTGTGCACCGCTGCCAGAGAACAAACCGCCGCCGTGAATGAAGAACAGCACCTACAATAACATCATTAACTTTCATCACACTGTGATATACTTCTCACTACTTTAGACGTTTAACACAGAAACTGCACCGCGCAAACACATAAAAAGACCCAAATACAAGCCAAAAACAATATACTTCACTTCCGATCGACGTACGGGGACCTGCAGGGTGTTACGAGTTACGCAAAATTTTCGCTAACGAGTTGAATTCTCAGACAGGTCTGTTCCCAGAGCTGATTGCAAGTTGCGTTAAATCCCGAGGCTTGAATTACGTTGGTTCATGAGCAGCTGCCTACGAAGTACGAAGACTTTTCAAGAGCCCACCTTACGAAAAAAATTGCATGCAGGGCCCCACGTACCGCTAGTCGAGCTGACGTGTCCATGGTCGGTGTGTACACGTCTAGGAAGAGACAATCCTCGCTGATCCTGTCGTGAGGCATGAACAGGGGGATGCTGTGGAAGAACCACCGGCCATCGGGGATGTCCTGGGCACAATGAGCGCCGTGCCGGGTAGCGTTTCTGAAAAATTCCCAGACCTGTAATTTTATATCGTACACTGAGTTGATCAATGAAGTTACCTTTGTCGAGTGTCTGTTGAAAGAAATGCCAAGACTTCTTCTTCCATCACTCACGCATAGTTAACAATGACATCATAGAGTAGACACAGAAGTTTACTGAGCGCGAAGATTTCGAACTTCTGGGAATCGATTTAGTATTTGTGTGAATTGATGGACACATTCAAATTCTGACCTACTATAACGGACTTGGACAGAACCTTGCAGACTGAGAGGCGAGCAGTATCCCCACCACATTGCTCATTGGAACGTGACAGAAACTCCTGAAGGTAAAAAGCATTACGAATGCCGTACCTGACACCAGTCCATGGCGCATGGGGGAGGGGGGCCTGGAACCTTAAGTCTCCCAAAGGCGGCCTGGCGTAGGGCACACCCTGGAAGATGTAGACCTGCATGTTGTCGTCCGTCACGTGTTCTTTTCTACCCCGAAGCCTGCCGTTCACTGTAGACGCCACCACATCATCACCTGTAGCACAAATCTGGTGAAAATCAACGTCTTTGATTCACCCATGGTTATTACTACGCGTTCAGTACTCAAAAAACTGGATGGATTTCAAGTATCCAGTTGCTTGAGTAACAATTTCCCTGTGCACTATGTGTTCTTATCATCATCTTCTGCAGGATATTTGCCTTCCAAAGTGGCTTCCCTGTAATATTTCAGACAGATACGTGAATGTCCTGGAAGTGGTACTTTTTCTTCTTCTTCTCTTTGACCCAAAGATACGAGATGAAGGCAAGGCATGAAACGTAATTAGCCAGGCTGCATGTCACCAAAAAACATGCCAGTGGTGCATTACATATAGATATTCTTGAAATATGAAAATAAGATTGCTTTTTAAACACTAAATAATGCTTAATAATACATTTGGGGGTTATATTTATATCTCTAATACGAAATCTCGATACATTTTTACATCAAAAAGATATTTGGTGACTGCAAGACAGTATCATTGGCGGGGCTGTATTCTCCTTGGGCGAAAACAATATGTTACCAGTGCAAAAGAATCAGAAATTAGCCGAAGCCTAAGCCTCTTCTTGGAGAGTAAAATCAACCGACTTCACAGATCAAAGCTGTCCATGAACTTCGTCTAGGGACTAACCATGAAAGATAGTAAAGGGGTGGTGTAAAAAATGATGTAAACGGATTGAACTGAATAAAGCCATAGTACTGTACAAGAATTTTTTTTCGAATAAACGCAGACCCCAGATCGCTTATAGCCCGACTAGTACTCGGCACAGTCGTCCTTCCTCCCTGTCGTTTGTCCTTCAACAAACTGACGCACAGAAACATTCCCTGGGCGTCGCTTTGTTTGGACTATTTGTATCAAATTGCTTCTTCAGAACGGCCTGTCAAGTCAATGTACCTGGTGTATATCACGAGTTAGACAAGGCCTTGGGTGGTATATGCCTATCCGTAGCCAAGATGCCCGACTATTCCCCGCCAATATGTACATAGGGTCAGGGGCTAACTGAAGGATTTGTAGTAAAACGTCATTGGGGACAGGTTGGCCCTGGGAACAGTTTTAACACATCGGTTGGGGAGGAAAAGCGTGACTATGAGAAGGAACTCTTTGAATACGTTTGTCAGTGTCCAGTAACTCGCTGTCTTGCTGGTTTACAAGTACAACAGTTAGTATTCAAAGGGTGCCTCCGAGGCACCAGTCTCCATATGATACGGTACATTGGTTGATTGGTTCGCGGGCTATTTCTGGAAATACAGTACATGTACTATCACCTTTTTTATATACAGAACTAAGGTCCCTCCACATGCCCCCCCCCCCTCCCATGGCCAACTCTGCTGGAACCGTCGTGACTACCCTGGTCCACCACAGGAATGCTAATGACGTCGTCTGCACACAGTTTAATGCTTATTGCTGTTCCCCGCACCAAGTTCAAGAGTAGGCTCGAATACAAGAATTGACGAACGATTCACACATGCTAATTTGACAGACACTGAGCGAGGCAAGGGTGTCTTACACACAGTTGATGATGACGATGATCATCGGATCTTCAGGTACAAAATTTTGTCGAACCTCGTCAAAGGACAGTAAGGTTATTCTTGTGTCGACTGTAAGGCGTTTTGTAGCGAAACCAAACATCGATGGTTGCCTCGCGCAACATATCTGATTAAGCCTTCCTGGCGTTAAACAGGGATGTAATGATGTCAAAGATCGGGCGTTGCATGCACCGGCACTCTCTGAGGTTTAGGCATATTTGTGACGTGTTTTTCGACATCTTTGTCTTGTTTTCCTGGTATTTTTACGCCAAACAAATGGATATTAGAATAGATATTTGTTACTGTCTATTTGACACTGCATTGTCAATTTGATACCTTGCAGCCACACAAAGATCTGCTAGGAGATTATGCACATGTTCGACCACAAATATCAAATCAACACCTTTATCATCGTCGCCGCTCCAATATCTACAAATACTTCGTGATGGCCATGTCAGTGGCGATATGAATCATTTTACAACGCAAAATATAGCAGTCGATGATAATTACATAAAAAGGAGACGCACAAACCTTGATCAGTAGGAGAGCCGTGTGGCGGCGAGTCGTTGGGTCGGCCGTTGGGGAGACCGGGGCACGTGACGAGGAGGATCCACCACGCCAATGAGGAACGTACAGCCGCCGCCTGCATAGCGTAAATCGTCCTTCTGCTCTTGTTCATTCCTCGGCTGTACACCGATCGCGCTAGCGGCACCTGTTAGACAGCGCGCCCTTACATAAGGGTGGAATCAGTGAGGGGTCCTTTGAAGAATTCAGGGGAGGATGGTGGGATACAGAAGAGCACGCCAGGTGCACTCTGTCTCTGTCCGCCCCTGGCAAAGTCAATGCTGATTTTTCCGGGCTTGGCAGGTGGTATATGGAGGAAAAGCGACCTTCTGTGCCGCTCCAACAGTGTCCTGGCGTTCCATTCAAGACTGCCGCAGGTTTAAGTTCACAAAGTAAACTCGGGGCGGGCCAAACAATTATCATCGCTTGAAGGAACGTCACTTCAATTACTGTCAATGGGTAACTGGAGTCGGGGTGGGGGTGTTCGTCTGACCCGTAATGCAAACCTCAATGTACCCATGCACTTTCATTCACCCTACCATATAAACGTGAGATGACTTGATGAAGACCAGATGGGGACAGTACCAACTTGGTAAACAGGTAAATTCTGCAAGGTATTTCGAGGTAAAGACTGAAGAGAAGAAAGCGTCGAGGACAAGAGCACAGTGAGCTAATAACTGCAAACAGACGCGATTTTGATTATCCTAAAACAAGTTAAACTTATCTGGATTCTTTAAGTGTGGCGTTATTTTCGCATAGGACACAATAACGGTGGGTAGCTAGGAGCTGGACGGGTTATTGTCATGTTGAACCTAGGCCTGTATCAAGATAGCATAAAACTTGAATGTCGGGGCAGCTCAATATTGAACAGAGTCGACTGCTATACGAGAACGGCTTTAACTTCTGCCAGGGACACTCACAGGAAGCCATCCCTCATGAGGAAAATGGTGAAATTGCAGACATTTGATATAATATGTTGGGAAGCCTGTGACAGTGGCAGAATATGTGATAACCCAGGGGAAGCTGAATAACTGTGCACAGGTGACACACTGTCTGGCTTGATCAAGTTGGTGGGTAAATCTGAAGGCTGCCTGTGTGACAGACTGTGCAGCTCAGGTTGGTCTGTGCTGACATCGCCTGATTTATCCATGTTTGACATTGATCTCTGAAGCATTGCTGCACAAGTTATTACATGTACTGTGTGCATTCTCAGTGCATTATAATAATGAATATTTGATCCATATATGAGTTTATCTCAACACTTTCTGGGAAGTCTTGATTACATAGATATCATTCAAATACGAAGATGAGAATTGGTTCTGAGTCAAAGTCTATTGAGCTCAATACACATGTATTGAGCTTTGCAAGTACAGATGCAATTACAAATGTATCTTAGTTTTCCTTTCTCCCTTTAGGCAATATCTACTGGTTACTTGAAATGTAAATGTTTCTGCAACTTATAGGCCAATTTCTTATCATAGACTGCTTAGATTGATACTTTATACCATTAGAAATTAAACATTCATTTCTTTTATTGAAGCCAGTCTTATACTAGTTATAATATTGAGTATCTTTTGACTTAACAAAGAAAATGTACATGTATGCTCTTAGTCTATATATTAAAGCTAAGGCATTAAGTGGTTGGGGAAAAAACGCATCACAATTACGTATGCAATAACGGATCACCCCTCTGCATGTAGCTATAGCCTCCTGTGCAGGCCCTGTCAGCCATGGCAGATCGGGAGATGTGGGCAGGAGTGGTGCAGCGGCAAACCCCGTCCCCTAGGGGGGTCGACTGATGATGATGATGATGTGCAGGCCCCGCGGCGGTGGAGAAGAGTTTTTAACGCGTTATTTTAATATAGCCAGCCATCCTACACACGGGCGGAAAGCAATCTTCTCTCGGCGGCTATGTAGGATGGCTGGCTATATTAAAATAACGCGTTAAAAACTCTTCTCCACCGCCGCGGGGCCTGCACAGGAGGCTAATTGTAAGCGGATTTCGATAACACTTAAACTGAAAAAAAAAATCTGTTTTTCAGCACAACATGGTGGTTTTGAAAACACTTGATACTGTTAAGCACTACATGGGGCTTTAAGAATACATTTGTACTTGTTACTGAAAGTGGTTCCGAAAAAATGGATATGGTTTTCACAAGTCTGCAAAGTGCTGGTGGCCTGCATGTCGTCATCTATCGAGAATATGATGAACTGCAGCATATCGTTTCGCAGGAAGTCATGAAAGGCAAACGCAATTAAGCTTGGTGGTAAGAAATTTTACAAATCATCAGTACATATGACAAAATACATTCTTTGCAGCACATAGGTAGCGTTAGTATATTTAAAAAATGTCTTTAAGAGTCAAGTAAGACATATTTGTGTACATTTTGAAACGAAAACGTAATCTGTACTGATGCGTTTGGATGTTTTCTAAGGGGTCAGACACTCTGACATGGCGTCCTTAGTTTGGAACACGGAAGTAACGTAACTTGAGCTGAGAGGTGAGATCATCATTTGTTTTAGTCCACATTCTTCCTATCTTGAACAGAATGCACAACAGGTTGTATATATCGATGACAAGTCCATGATGTGTAGCCAAAGGTGCCTGAAATTATTTCCCCAGTGTCTCACTGTCCCCACCTAGCGACAGATGTGATTTCACAGGTGAGTTATTGTTGTCTGTTTGTCCTAGGACGGCGACGAAAAAAGCCGCAATCCCAGAATTTACGCTAGTTTGTCACACCTTTGATTAAGTGTGTTTGTCTCGCAGATTTTTCTCACTTACATGTGGACTTTGAAACATATTGTTATGTGTTATTTTAGGGTTAGAGACAAAGCATGGTGGGCTCCTTTGTCCATTATAGCAGTTAGGTATGATGACCTATTGAGCCTCTGAAGTGCCCTTTGTGTAGGTCTTGTTGTCGTTGCCTGTGTATGGCCACATGTAGGTACAGAAACCTGTACTGCACAATGGTTAACTACTAGTACAAAGTTTGAACATTGCTGTGGATTTTATTCATTCCTTAAATGTGAAACTATACAGTTGTTTCATTGTTTGCATTCTCATTATTTTGACATATGTCTAGCACGACAGTATAACATGTATCACAGAGCTTTCCTTGTGATGAAATGGAAAGCTCCTTGCATGTATGTAATGTTAACTGAAAAGTGCTGGAACTGTGTCTCTTGATTTCATGCTCATCTTTATTTAAGAACCTCTAGTAAGCTTCCACTAGCCTATTGGTTCAAACAATACTAGTAACAAAATGAAACATGGAAGTCTACAGTAACAATTAGATGATCTTTTCTAATGAGTTTCAAAATGATACCAAGTCAAAACCTTTGATTTTAACAGGCAGATGTGAATTTTAGTCTAGTAATAGTATATCTATTTGCTTCATACTGATCAATTTAATAGAGCAGCCAATATTGACACTGTGGACACTTGTTTTCAGAGTTAACTCAATGCCACCTTCAACACATCTATGACAGAGCCAACAAGAAAACACCAACTGCAAGATGGAAGATTACGAGATCCTGACACAGCTAGGGAAGGGCGCCAGTGGAGCTGTGTTCCTGGCACGAAAGACCAACACCAAGAAGATGCTGGCCCTGAAGAAGATCCAAGTAGACACCAGCCGCAAGACGCGAACCAAGGAGTCGCTCCTCCGAGAGGCCAAGATTCTGTCCAAGCTGCAACATTCCCACATCGTGGCGTACCATGACTCCTTCTTCGACAAGGAGGAGGAATATCTGTACATAGTGCAGGACTACTGTGACGGTGGCACCCTGGACGAGAGAATACACGACAAGAGACAGAAAGGAGAGTTCTTCCCTGAGAGCCAGGTCATGAGGTGGTTCATACAGATTGCCATGGCGGTACAGTACATGCACTCCCTCAAGATCCTTCACCGAGACCTCAAGACTCAAAATGTCTTCCTCACCAAGAAGGACTGTGTCAAGCTCGGTGATTTTGGGATCTCGCGGATGATGGAACACACGTTGGACGTGGCTCAGACGTGTGTGGGTACGCCGTGCTACTTGAGCCCGGAACTCTGCCAGGATATCCCCTACAGCTCCAAGTCAGATGTCTGGGCCCTCGGCTGCCTCCTGTACGAAATGTGTGCCTTAAAACCAGCCTTCGATGCAAACAACCTCATCAGCTTGTTTTACAAGATTGTCAAAGGTGCTTTTGACATAGTACCTGACTGCTTTTCTCCAGAAATGACCGATCTGATCGGAACAATTCTGGCAAAGTCGCCTGAGGACAGACCCAGTGCCAGTGCAGTGTTGACTTTGCCGTACGTCCAAGATCAGCTGAAGATATTCCTGGAGGAAAAAGAAGAACTGTACCGACAGATGGGAGAAGAGAAGGAAAGAAAACAGGTAGCCTCTGTGAAGTTTCCTGAATCCCACATAAAGTCCTTCAGTGCAGAAAATCTTGCACAGGCCAGCCCAGAAGAGAAAGAAGACAACAAAGACAGGAGACCAAGATGTAAGACTGCCCCGTTGAGACGTGGACACGAGGCTGAAATCTTCAGTGAGTCTAAGTCTATACCAAATAATGAAACACTGTCAGATACTGGTACTAGTAATGAAGGGATAGAGGGGGAGGAAGCCTGGATCACAAAATCAGAAGAGGAGAGAGAGATTCCCAGTGAAACTTCCTTTGTGAAGGTGGATCAGTCCATATCTGACTCAGAGAGCAGTGTTGATCAGGACAGGCAGGGGAGGGAAGCGTGGAGAACACAGAGTAACACCAGTAACGGAGAGACAAAGGAAACAGACGGAAGTCGTAACATCTCAAGTCCAATCTCCCCAAGAGAAGACTCCGCAAACTACTCCCAGGACTACTCAGACTCAGATGATGAGATCGAGGAAGACATTCCGGACTCCAGCTCTGATGAGGACATTCCGGAGGAAATTCCAGAAGAGATTCCTGAACCCAACAGGAACAGGAGCAACAGGGAATCACCGCTGGAAGTAAAGGTAAGGTTGGATGGAGTAGCTGAAACCTGATATACCTACCTACCTACCTAGTCCCTTGAACGACCAGGTCAGGGGGGGGGGGTAAGGCAGAGTTTTCCTTGTGGATATATGCCATAGCTGTATGTTAAGAATGTTTGTAAATTACTGGAAAATCATAATACATTGTACATGTACATCTTTTAAAATACTACTTGTAATTCAGTAGCAATTTGCTCAGCAAAATTACATCTGATACAGCAAATAAACAAAACAAGACAACAGCCACCATCTTGTTAGCCTGGGTACCATCTGATTTGTAACAGAGCCTTTGTTACAAACTGGAAAGCACCCAGGCTACCATCTTGTGGCTTGCTTCATAATCTTGATTGACCCTATTAGTGAATACATCAATCAATGCTGTTGCCTATCATTTCACCAGGATGAAGATCAGAAGTATGATTGGTTGAGCACACCTGCCAATGACTTACAGCTGCAGGATATGGTTAGTGACACCTGTCAGGTGGTGTGCATGTGGAATGATGCATGTGGACAACACTGTCAGCTCTAAAGCATCATTCCCCCCCCCCCAACACCCTGGCCTTCCCTGCACGAAAAATCCACCATGTTGACCCCATTGTCCCAGAGGAATGTGTTTATGGTGATAAATTAATGCACACTGTGCATGATTTAGGCAGCAATTTAGTGATGAGCATCCACAAGCTTTGCAGACATTAAAATGATGAAGAACAAATGATCTTACATCATTACACCAAATGCAGTAGGGGTATCATCACAACATAGCTTTTAAACATTTACAGTTGCAACAGGTCAGGTGTAATATAGCCAGCTGCTGCCATGCCCCGTGTCTGCATAACTGGTATGTTATGCCGATGTGTGGTTATACCGGCTACTAGTATACAGATACAGATTTCTTTACGTATGCTGCCATTTTTTCTTTCTATCAGGAGGACGAGTATGCAGATGACTTTGAGGAGTATGAATCCGACCCTGAACTTGAGGACATCATTAACGATGCACGGCAGGCAGCAGAGCTGAGGGCAACAGATGAGGACTTTGTTGAGGAGCCCATGTCGCCTGGGCTCCAGGCTTCACCCAAGGGAACACAGGCATGGAAGGATGTCATCAAGTAAGGAATCATCTCTATTTGTACTTTTATACATGTAATACAATAAGATGTACCCAGACTTGAGTAAGTTCTAGATCAGCACAACATACTGCATTAAACCCATAAACGATAAAAGTATTGTGCATAGTTCTTTGGCAGAACATGTCATCCTTGAATGTGAAAATGCGACCTTAATGATTAAGGTCGCATTTTCACATTCAAGGATGACATCCTGACTGTAGTTTTCAAATGTTGTGTTGGAAAAGATATCTCCTGCAACGGGCAAAATTCTGATGCAACATTGACCAATTAACCAATCAAACTTACTAGCAATTGCACAATACTGTAACAGGTACAATGTATGGCAAGTTCTTGAGCAGTATATGATGCCTTATAATTGTATGTATTGTCATTGCCTATTTTGAATTATAGTATAGCAAACACAAATTGTTCCTTTTGTTGAAGTTTTTCTGAGTTGCTATCCTGTGTTTTTTTAGGACCAAGTGTATTGAGGAGCTTGGAGCAGACCTGTTCCAGGAGATGCGGGGACAGTTGGAGCAGGGGGTGAGGGCAGAGGACCTGCGGCCCAAGATCGAGCTGATGGCTGGGTCAGAGCTCATGGAGACCTGCTACCTCGTGGACCTGTTCACAGAGGAGCAAACAGGCGATTCTTGGTCCTGATGGATTAGGGAGAGAAGGTTACAGAAATTTGTCAGCTGCAGGGGTTTTTGTTTTTTTGGGAACCTCTAAATCTCTTTTTTTTCTTGGCAGGCCCAGATAGCTTGGTGTTTGCAATGATTACTGATGTAAAACAGCAATGTTTCTTGTGTTTCAAACCACATGAAGGTTGCAGGGCTCAAAATACTTTTTTCTTCATACCTGCACTAATGCAGGTAACCTTGAAAATTACCTGCACCAGACAAATTTTACTTGAGCACCAGCCTGTATATATGCAATCGGTACATGCATCTCACACCCTGAGACTGTGTTTTGACCTTTTTTTTTTAAAGATAAGCAAAGCTTCATTCTGTACATATAATACTCTGACATATAGGAATCCCAAATCTATGCAAATTTTTGCTGAAATCCATTGAAGAAAATAATCTTTTACCTTTCAATGTAATGAAAATGTCATGTAAAATGTGGCCTGCTGTGGTGTCAAATTCTAAAGACCAAAAAAGGGGTACTAGTAATCTAGCAAAGTATAGCTTCCCTTTCGTAGTCTTAGTATGCTGTAATCGCTAAAAATATAATTTCAGTAATTCTCTGCATTCATCATATCAGCTCCCACAAAATTCTGGGCTTACTTTGATTAACATTTATGAT